TTCACATGAAACTAAGATTTTGTTCATGAAGTCTTTTCCTATGCTAATATCTTCAAGATTTCTACCTAACCTCTCTTCCAGCATGTTTAGTGTTTCTGTTTTAATATTTAGATCTTTGATCCATTTCAATTTTAGTATAGTGCATGGTGTGAGATACAGGTCTGGTTTTAATGTTTGGCAAGTTGAAACCCAGTTTTTCCAGCACCATTTATTAAAGAGCCTGTCTTTCCTCCAGTGAGGGTGTTTGGTTCCTGTGTTGAACATGAGGTGGCTTAATGTGTCTGGAGTTGTTTCTGCATCTTCTAATCTGTTCCACTGGTCTTCAGGTCTGTTTCTTTACCAGTACCATGCTTTTTTTCTCTCACAGAAGCTTTGTAGTATAGTTTCAAGTTGGGGATTATCATACTCCCTGCCTTGACTTTGTTGCCTAGAAATGCTTTTGCTATTCTAGGTCTCTTCTTGTTTCAAATGAATTTTGGATTGTTTTCTGCAGTTCTATGAAATATGCTGTTGGAATTCCAATAGGGATTGCATTGAATCTATATAGCAGTTTTAGAAGCATGGCCATTTTCACTATATTTGTTCTTCCTACCCAGGAGCAAGGGATGCTGTTCGATTTTCTCATATCTTCTTCAATCTCCTTTTTCTGAGTACTGTAGTTTTCAGAATACAGGCCCTTTATTTCTTTCATTAGATTGGTTCATACATATTTCATTGTTTTGGACGCTATTGTGAAAAAAGGTGTTTCTCCTGTTCCACTCTCAGTTTTTGTCTACAGGAAGGCTATTAATTTTTGTGTGTTAACCTTGTATCCAGATTCTCTACTGAATTTGCTTATTAAGTCTAGGAGACTTTTGATGGAATTCTTGGGGTCTTCTATATAGAGCATCATATCAACTGCAAAAAATGACAATTTTTATTTCCTGTCTTAATTCTTTTTATTTCTTTCTCTTGGCTAATTGCTGTGGCTAATGTTTATAAAACTATATTGAACAGGAACTGTGACAGTGGACATCTTTGTCTTGTTCCTGATTTTAGCATGAAGGATTTCAGTTTTTGACCATTTAGTATGATGTTGTCTATTGGTTTTTCATAGATGGTTTTTTTATCAGGTTGAGATAGAGACCATCTATTCCAATTTTCTGCAGGTTTATTATCATGAATGAGTGTTGGATTTTGTCAAATGCTTTTTTTTCCGTATCTACTTAGATGATCATATGGTTTTTGTCCTTGGTTCTGTTAATATAGTGTAGTACATTTATTGATTTGTTTATGTTGAACCATACCCACCTCCTGGGAATGAAACCCACTTGGTCAGAGTGGGTGTATGATCTTCTTGATGATCTTCTGTATTCTGTTTGCTGGTATCTTACTGAGAATGTTTGCATCTATGTTTGTTAGGGAGATTGGCCTATAGTTCTCTTTCTCCATTGGGTCTTTTTCTGCTTTGGGTATCAAGGTGATGCTTGCTTCCAGGAATTAATCTGGGAATAGTGCTTCTCTTTCTACTTCACTGAAGTGTTTAAACAGTGGTGGCAATAGTTCTTCTTTAAATGTCTTACAGAATTCAGCAGCAAAGCCATTAGGACCTGGGCTTTTCTTTGTCGGTAAGTTTTTAATTATATTTTCAATTTTGTTGATTGATATTGGGTTGTTTAGAATTTTTAGGTCTTCTTCATTCAACTTCGGTAATTCATATATATCTAGAAATCTGCCCATTTCTTCTATGTTTTTCATCTTATAGGCATGTAGGTTCTCAATGTAGGTATTGATGAACTTCTGAATTTCTGCTGGGTCTGTTGTAATTTCACTCTTTTCATTCTTAATTGCATGGATTTGAGCCTTTTTTAATATAATGTTGGCTAAGGGTTTTTCAACTTTGTTTATTTTTTCGAAGAACCAACTCTTTGCTTCATTGATTTTTTTTTTGTATCATTCCCTTAGTCTCCAATGCATTGCTTTCTCCTCTGATCTTTATAATTTCCTTGTTTGTATGAGTTTTTGGTTCATCTTGATCTTCTTTTTCTAGAAGCTTGAGGTTCAGCATTAGGTTGTTTATTTGAGCTCACTGTTTTCCTAATGAATTTCCCTAGTACAACTGCTTTTATTGTGTCCCATAAATTCCAATATGTTGTATTGGCATTGTCATTTAATTGTAGAAACTGTCTAATTTCTTCTTTAATTTCCTCTGTTACCCATTGGTTGTTCAAGAGGGTATTGTTCAATTTCCATGTATTTATGAAGTTCTTGTGGTTTCTTTTGCTATTGATCTCCAATTTCATTGCACTATGATCTGATAGTATACAGGGGATAACTTTAATTCCTTTGCATTTACTTAAACATTCTATGAGCAAGTATGTGGTCTATTTTGGAGAATATCCCGTGTGCAGCTGAAAAGAATGTGCATTTTGATTTTGGGGGGTGGAACACTCTGTAAACATCTGTTAAGTCCATTTGTTCAAGTTTGGTTGAGTTCTAGTATTTCATTGTTGATTTTTTGTCTGTCTGATCTGTCTGTTTGTGACAGCAGGGTATTGAGGTCCCCCACTACTATTGTAGTAGTGCTTATTTGACTTTTCATGTCTTTTAGAATTTGTTTTATATACTTGGGTGCAATAGTATTTGGTTCATATGTATTTATGATTGTCATCTTTTCCTCTTAGACTATTCCCTTTACAAGGATGCAGTGACTTTCTGTGTCTCTCTGAATTAGTCTAGGTTTGAAATCCATTTTGTCTGCAAGTAGGGTAGGTACTCATGCTTTTTTCAGGTTTCTGTCCCATGGAGTATTGTTTTTCACCCTTTAACTGTCAGCTTATGAATTTCTCTTTAAATTAAGTGTGTCTCTCGTATTCAGCATATTGTTGGATCTTGCTTGTTGATCCAGTCTGCCAGTCTATTTCTTTTGATTGGTGAACTGAGACTATTAACATTGATAGTTACAATTGATGTGTATTGACTTATTCTTGTCACAATCTTTTCCTGTTGTTTGGTCCCCCAACACAATTTTGCATTTAATTTCTTGTCTTGAGTGATAGATTCACTCTTTTGGGCTTCATGGGGTTTTGACCTTCATTGTCTTTTCCTAAGATACTATTTTTAAAATTTTGGAGCACTGATTTGGTATTAAAGAAGTTTCTCAGCTGTTCTTTGTCATGAAAGTATTTTATTTCTCCATCAATTTTGAAAGATAATTTCACAGGTTACACCAATCTGGGTTGGAGGTTGTTTTCTTTTAGGGCTTGAAATACTTCACTCTAGGCTCTTCTTGTGTTGAGAAGTCTGATGTAATTGTGATAGGCTTTCCCTTATATGTAATTTTTTTTTTCTCTAACTGCTCGTATTATTTTGTTCTTCTGTTGGGTCTCTGGAGTGTTGACTATTATATGCCTAGGTGTAGATATTTTTTGATCATGGCTAGTGGAAGTCCTATATGCCTCACCTATCTCTATGTCAAATTCTTTTCCCTTGCTTGGGATGTTTTCTGCTATTTCTGTGAACAGTTTTTTTTTTAATATATTATTTGCATTATGTCCTGTTTCTTCATCAACTCCAATCAGCCTAATGTTATTTTTATTTGCATCATCTAGCAGCTGCTGGATTGATTTCTCATGGTCTCTTGCTATTTTTAAGAAATCTTTCCTGCTCACCACCACAATCTTGTCTTCTTTATCTGATATTCTGTCTTTACACTGTCTCATTCTGCTGTATAAACTTTCATTGGAGTTTTTAATCTCTTGGATATCTGTTTGACTGTTTTATGGATTCCATTTCTTTCTTAAGCTGGAATTCCATCATGTTCCTGAAGTCCTCTAATTTTTTTTATCTGTGTCTTCTGTAAAGTTATTAATCAGACCTTTCACTGCAATCACCATCTCTGTTATTATCTGAGAATATTTCTGATTTTATTTTTTCCATATCCTCTTTCATTGCCAGTTCCAAGTCCAGATGGTTGAGTTCTGGATTGTTCCATCTCATCCCCTGGATTTTCCTTTGGCAATCTGGAAGTCTGGGTTTGCATCTTGTTCAAGAATCTTCTCATTTCTATTTTTTGTTATTGGTGAAGATTTTGGTACTCATAAATTACTTATTGAAGTATCTCTATTGCTAGTATTTAGAGCCTCAAGGAATGTCTACTACTTGGATTGTCTTCCTGGTATAGTTGGCCTTTGGGTTTTGAGTCTATAATAGCCTTTAAGTGATCTCAGTCTTGACAGACCCATAAAGACTACTGACTAAAGCAATTACATCATCTTGGCCAAAGTAATACAATCAGCAACAAAAATAGCATCAAACACAGCTTAGAAAATGACAAATTATGGTAGCTATTCTTCTGACACATTTAACTACATAAAGTAGACTTATGGTTATATAACAAAATCAAGGACCAGCCAGAAATGTTTACAGTTACTAAGCCCTTCAATATAGTGGCTTTATCCTCTGATACAAAGACTTAGAAGAAGTTGGGGGTGGTGGAAATGGATAGAGGTAGAAGGAGGTTAGAAGGAGGACTAAAGGACACAGGAAGATTATGCAAACTTTGGAAAATTAGTGAGGACAGGAGGAAAAGAGAGAAGGAAAAAAGAAAGAACATAAACAAGAGCAGAGCAAACTAAAAGCAAAAGGAAAAGTAGAAACTGTATTTACACTCCTAATGATAAGAACAATCAAGCAAAAAATAGAATAGGACAAAAAAAGGAATAAGAAAGGAGAGAAATGAAGAAGAAAAAAGAAGTAAGAGAAAAGAAACAAGAAAGAAAAAAAAAGGTCGCTTTTTAGGTATGTCTCAACATGGGCAGCAGTGTGCAGAGCTGCGTCAATTAATCTCAGGGAACCAGCTGTAATCCAATGAGATTCAGGCTGGTTTCTGGCTATGAGGCCAGAATTGAACCCCCTGACCTCCTGTGGGCTAACTCTACAAGGTTTTACTGCAGGTTTGAGCCACCCTTCCCCCACAGCATGCACAGGTCTGGTAGGAGGTGCTGGTCCCAGCAACTCACCAAATGCTGTACTCCACTCTGTCTTCACTCTCCCAGTGGGCTTCAATTTTCAGCAACAACAAGCCTCAGAGAGGCCCTCACTCTCCTGCACCACCTTCGTGAGCTCATAGTAATGGCTCTCTGGCCCCAGACGACTCTGCCACAGGGATCTGGGTCCATGGGACACCCCTGCAGGTGTGGGGAGGTCACACGTCTCACGGGGATCTGGAACAGGAGCAAAACATAGCCACTTTAATAAATTCTGCCAGGAAAACTGGCTTTCCACATGTCAAAGATTCAACTAGACCTATATCTCTCACAATACACTAAACTAAAATCAAAATGGATCAAAAATCTAAATATTAATGCAGAAATACTTAATCTTCTGGAAGGTTAAATAGGTTAAACTCTTGAAGACATAGGTGTATGCAAAAACTTTATGAACAAAACCCCAATGGCACAAGAAACATTACAATGAATCAAAATTGGGATCACATCTTAATAAAAAGATTTTGCACAGAAAAAAAAAAGTGGGGCATGATGGTTCATGCCTATAATCCCAGCACTTGGGAGGCTGAGACAGGAGTATCACTGTGAATTTGAGACCAGCCTGGGCTACATGTGAGTTCCAGGTCAGTCTCAACTACATAGTGAGACCGTGTCTCAAAAAAACAAAACAAAAAAGAAAAGAAAAACTATCAACAGAGTGAAGCAACACCCACATAGTGGGAAAAATTTTTACTAGCTGTTCCTCAGACAAAGGACTAATACCTACAATATATAAACAACTAGAAAAACTCAAACTCCCTCTAATGTAAAGACCCAATCCTTACTGTGTGCTTTTTTTTTTAATTGGGAAAAATGAGCATGTATCTGAAACATTTTAGTGATATAGTGAAGAAGCTATTTCTTCTCTCAATGACAAAAAAGGAATGACAATTCAACTTTACAGTAAATATTTGGTGTACAACAACACAATTTCCAAATATGAAGCAATCGAAACATGGCATGCTTTTAAATAAGTGTAATAAAAGACAATCTACTTGGCTTCAAATATTTAAAAAAAATTATCTTCTGAGTAAGCACAGTCATAACATTGAACCATGGAAAACAAAAGTATAATTTAGCAATTTACTTGCATCCACATTAATTAATATTTATACAATTTATGGGGGAATAACTTTAGCTTTAGAATGAATCTCTAAAAATTTGATTATATTTATAGGACAAAATTTAAATGTGAAAGAAAAGGATCACTGATGGATATTAAAGGCGGCAAGAGAAAGGCAAAATAGGGGAACTGATACAGGAATCATTACGGCCATCTTACATAGGATTTGTTCAAGAGATAATTCTAAAATTGAAGGAACAGGGCCGGGAATTTAGCTCAGTGGTTTGGTGGCCTGCCTTGAAAGCACAAGGACCCAAGTTCAATCCTCAGTACCAAAAAATAAATAAATAAATAAATAAATAAATAAATAAATAAATAAATAAAATTGAAGGAACAATAAATAGGACACATTTACTCCAGACATAGCGAAAGTTACAACAGCAAGCAGAAAAATTAAAATTAGCAATATATCAAACATTTGGAATATCAATGGAACAAAAGTTGAGTAACATTTCAATAAGTAAAATCTACAACATTCAAAGCAAAAAATTATCATTTAAAATTATTGTATCACTGATGAATGGATAAAGATATAATTTTTATACAATGGAGTACTATTCAGCCATAAAGAAAGATAAATGAGATATTTATAGCTAACTACACACACCTTGAAACCATACCCTTAAGTGAAATAAATTGGACACAAGTGTAAAGCTTGTGTGTGAAAAACTGAAAGTGTAAATGAGAACCAAAAATACATAATAGATATTGCAATATAAGAAGAAAATTGAGGGGGGTGGGGGAAAGGAAGGAAGGGAAAGGAAAAAATAAGAAAAGAAGGAAAAAGTAGAAACAAAGTTTTTGTAAATAAGGAGGGGTAGAGGGCTGGAAGGAAGGGAGCGGAATAGGAAAAAATAAGAACCAAGATATATCATGTATAGGTACAAATTCCTAATGATGAACATGATCGTTATGTATACCTAAAAGGCACCAATAAACTTTAGTAATTAAAAAATTGGTTTATCAACTAATAGCAATATAAATAAATACATTACTATATTTATAGAAGAAACTAAAATGTTAAAAAAGATTTTAACTGAGAGAAACAAAGTTTACAAAGAGGATAGGAAACAGGCTATTTTACTACTAACTGGGGTGTGTGTGTGTGTGTGTGTGTGTGTGTCTGTGTGTGTGTGTTTGTACCAGAACTTCTGTACACAAGCTAAGGGCTTAGGGCTACGTAGGCAGAAAGCAGTGAGTGACACCATGACAATGAGTGATGCAGGCTCCGTGGGAGAATGTGGATGCCCCAGGTGGGAGAGTGGCTCACTGGCTGCGCTTAGCAAAGGGGACTGTTGTCCCTTGAGGAACTAAACAGGCATTAGAAGCCCTTCCCAGAACTCCAAGCAAGAATCTGTTCTCAGCTTGACTCACCTGCCAAGATTCCTGCAGCTTAATAGAGCCAGGACACCACATGGGAAGCCATTCTGCAACTACCAAGCCCAGTCGTCATTATGTCCCAAACCACCAACCTTGTATCAAGACTTGAGAAGATGAAACATGACCCTTTGCAGTTGTTTTTAAGTTATTTGTTTCAGTTACTGAATTAACTACTTCAGCAAAAATTACTGAGTACCTTCACTGTGTTTAATGCAAAAGGAAGGAAGGAAGGAAGGAAGGAAGGAAGGAAGGAAGGAAGGAAGGAAGGAAGGAAGTGCTTCCAACCTAGGAAAGGATCAGAAGAGCCTGAGCAAGCAGGAGGTGTCAGAATGAGTTGGGATCCTGGGCCTTGCATCAAGATGCCTGCAGACAAATCTCAGTGTTGTTATCTGTAGTACTGCTTCCCTTGTGACGGTCTTGAATTTCTGGGATTAAATGCTAAGTTCCCCCATGAACACCTCATTTATCCACAAATACAAAATTTGGCTTGGAAAAGATGAATTGGTAAAATATAAGTCTAGCAGACAACTGAAGTATATATAGCGGTATAAGCAAACCAGACTTTATTCATAACCCCAAATGAATCCAAAAGTCTGGGTTGTTTGTATTCTTAATAATATATTTCAATATATGTTCATGTCTGTGTCTATATTCTACCCCCAAATCCAGAAGATTAAAGAGCCAGAGAATGTTAAAATTGGAAAAGACCTCAACTATTATTCAATATACTGTAATCCTATCATTTTACAAATGAAGAAACCAGGCCAAAAGAGGATAAATGTGATTTTCCAAGGTTACACAACCACAAAGAACAAAGCCAGGATTTAAACCAAGTTGTCAGTGCAAGTCCCAAAGCTCTTTTTTCTGGATACTAAGCCGAAAAAAAAAATTAAAGGAAAAAAATTAAGGATAATTTTTTAAAATATTGATTAACCATATATTGTTATTGGCAATAGATTCAGAATTATCATTGAAGCTGATACAAATTCTAAATAGCTATTAAGGATTCTCTATTTCTTGAAATCTTTTCTACTTGATCATAATATATAAGCCAGCAAACCAAAAAGTATTGCTTTTCAAGCTATTTTATTACATTATCTAAATTATTGAATTACTTATAATAATTCTTATTCTGTTTAAGAGGCCAAAAAAACTACAAATACCTACTCACCAAGCCATATATAATTTTTATTTCATCAAAGCAGAAGCAGGAGTTATTTTACAAGCAGGTGCTCTCTTGCTTTTACTTAGGATCATATATCCAGAGAAAGGGCATTTTTAAACTAGGCTATGTTATGTTGGACTGTGCTGTGTTCGCTTACCAATTCTTTGGCATTTGTCATAGTAGGTGGCTTACAGAATTTATACTGTACTGGAATTCTGGATTTACTCAACCTTTGTGTACCATGTACTGTATCCATATTTATATGGTAAATGTGACATACATGATTCTTTGGAGAGAACGAAATGTTACCTACACATCACTTAAAATCGGTCCATCTTTTCCCAAAGCAGGCTCCATGATTACAGGTCTCCTTTACACTCAACCTGTAATTAAATCCTAGGTGATAGCCAAAGCCTGTTCTGAGTAGAACATTTATTTTTCTCCCTTCTTTACCCCAACTTGTGCACAGGTTGCTGTAGTGAAACCAATGCCTTATTCTAGTCCTTCCAAACCCTGGTACAGACTTCTCAACCAGCCAAAAGTCTATGGTGCAAATCACCAGAGGCCTTCTCAACAGAACCTGGCACACTCAACCCAACAGGCCAACCCGGGGACACCTTGGGAATTCTGAAAGGAGAGTCCAGTAGGTGCTGCGTGCAAGCACCTAAAACATGGATGTACACGTCTGGAAGAGCAAAAAGACAGGGACACTAATGTGTTTAATATTACGAACCTCACTGAGGCAATTAAAGATGGCTTCAAACTATAAAAGGTTTGTTAAAAATCATGAGGACTTCAGTTAAATGTTATTCATATAAATAAGTCAACTTAGCTCTTGCTTTCTTCCTTCTCCCTTTTATTAAAATATGGGGGGGAAACGCTGTGTTTTGAAAACTGATGCTACTGCAGTCTTTTAACTGTCTAAAAAATAACAAATGAAACTTCCACTTCTAATCTTCCTTGATATGTTTATATAACAACAAAAGTGATGGTATAATCACCTCTCGCTTGTCTATTTAATATCTGCATTTTTTGCAACTAACTACAAGTGAAATATTATGAGTTTGGCCATTTCTTCAGTTATTTGCATATAAGGTTCTATTAAAACCTAAAATCACATTTACCCCTACTCCCTTAATGAAGACATATCCATAAAACAAATACTGAGAAAAATAAAAACAAAGATGCATGAGCCACAGTTAAGGAAGCCACGTCCTTCCCGAACTGGTTTCGACCACTGAGTCAGAGTCACCGTTCCTTCCTCCTGAGGAACAGGGGCCTACGTCACAGCTACGTGACGCGAGCAGAGAGCACAGTGGTTTGCACGGCTTGCTGACCTCCTTGGAAGGTCAAAAGTTTTTGCTGCCCTGGGTCCCAAGTCCACCTCAGAGAGAGACAGCAGCCCAGGAAAGAGGTGGAGAAGGACAAAGCAGGCCTTGAGGCACGGAACATGGAAACTCCCCAGGACCTGGCCACACATAGAAGGAAAATTTTTGTACTGACACTGGA